CCGTGGTGGCCCCAGGGTGGATGGGGTGGGATGGAGCCAGCTTCTCACCCCTCCCTGGCAGAGCTAGACATGGCCCAGCTTGTCATCATGGGCCTTGCCACTATCATGACGCTGCTGTCGGTTGCAATCTTCGTGGAAGAGGCTTTCTACCTCACCCGCAAGATCCACTGCCCCATCAAGATGAGGACCCTCCGCTGGAGCAGCTCAGCCCCAACGGTGAGCGGGAGAGGTGGGGGAGCATCACCCCAGGGTTTTTTTGGGTGCCAGCCCACACGACGGGACAGTGACAGTGTGTCAAGCCTCTCTCTCCTCCAGGTTGTGTGTGTGGTCAGCTGCTTCGGGCTGTGGATCCCACGCTCTATGATGGTGGTGGAGATGGCTACCACAGCGTGAGTGTCGCCCACCCCGGGGCAGGAGCACTGCAGAGCCCATAGGGCCTGACCTTCCTTTCTCCTCCTCCCCAGGTACTTTGCCACCTGCTTCTACCTCATGATGCAGGTCATGGTGGAGGGCTTTGGGGGGAAGGAGGCGGTGCTCAGCGCTCTGAAGGACGTGCCCATGGTGGTCAGCACTGGGCCCTGCTGCTGTTGCTGCCCCTGCCTGCCCCGAATCACTATGAGCAGGTGAGGGAGAGCTGGGGTAACCCCCTGCTCCTGAGGAAGGCTTTCACCCACTGCTCCTGCGCCTGTGGAACTGAAGTCCCTGGGCATGGGTTCGAGGACCTCAAGGTGCTAACTGGTCTCTCTTCCTGTGCCAGGAGAAAGCTCCAGCTGCTGATATTCGGGACTTTCCAGTATGCCTTCTGCAGGGCTGTGGCCGTCTTCCTGGGGCTGGTCCTGGCCACCGACGGGAACTACAACCCTGCTGATGTCAGTGCCGGGCCACAGGGATGGGCAGGGTGATGTCAGGGACTGGGAAGCCTTCACCAGCCCTCTCCTTGCCTAGCAGCTCTATGAGCCCAGGCATGTTTTCTGTGTGTGTCCCCGCCAGATCTCGGCAGAAAGCGTGGCTCTCTGGATCAACACGGTGGTCGGTGCCTCCACTCTCTTCGGGCTGTGGGCCCTGGGCATCCTCTTCCGGCAGGCCCGGCTGCACCTCGCCGAGCAGAACATCAAGGCCAAGTTCTTCTCCTTCCAGGTGAATCCCTGTCCTGCTCAGCTTCCCCCTGGCTGAGGGGCTCCTCCTGGATGGGAAGAGGTGGTCTGGGGGGAGATGGAGGGGCAGGAGC